GCTTTTTCAAATCATGTCCAAGCAATTGAAATTGCCACAGTTGGACTCAATCTACAAATGAAAGCGTAGAAGCATCTCAAAAATGGGTAACACTTCAGACAATCTGTTAACTATAAGTATCTTTGCAACTACATGTCAACTTATTCTGCTAATCCTAAACCTAACCTAACCTAACTGTTCACTAATACTCAAATTAAAGTTAGTTGACGTGTAACTGCAAAGTGACTAGAATGTCTAAAGTGGACTATAGAAATAGAGAGACTCATAGAAATGCACCTGATCTTAATTTCAAGTGTCATAGCAAAGGGTCTTAATACTTATGTCAGTGAGATATTTTTGTTTTTTGTTTGTTTTTCTGGTTCACAAATCAGTTTTTTCCTTTGTCATTACAGAGTACGTATTGTTTGATGTGAAAAAATAATTTAAAGCATTTTAGCATAAAGCTGCAATATAGTAAAACGTGAAAAATGAAGGGATCTGAATACTTCCTCGATGTATCAAATTTAATTTACTTGAGTCTCGAATAATCAGTGCCTTATTTTTTTTAACACGATCTTACATTGGAATTTGTGCCCAAGTGTTTGCGTATGAATCATCTTATTCACATCCCTATGATATTAAAGCGTTATAATTTCTTTCTTTCTCTCTCTCTCTGTCTCGCTTTCAGATAATCTTTCATAAATATTTAACATGTTTCCCTGCAGAGATGATGATATGAATGATTTACGAGCTGAGTTTTAGAGATGCTCTACTCTTCAGAAGTTTGGAGTGAAGCATAGCACAAGTACAAACTCTAATATTCAGCTGCAAGGATTTATTTGTGTGTATATCATATATCATGTGCCCAGTTGCAAGAAACCCCTTAAGTTAAAAAAACATCAGTGATAATGTCCTTTCCTAACTATTACATTATGACTAAATTATAATGGCCTTTTTAAAAAAATTAGGTGCAATAGATAAGCACATAATTTCATTGTTCAGTTGGTACAAGATTGTTTTATGGAATATCTACCCAAAAGAATTTGTGACTATACAATATATATATAATGTCTGTCCATTGTGTAAAATGCTGTTGCTTGATTTTTTTTCAAGCTATCAAAAAAAGATGATAATAGTCTAAAATACAATTAAACAATGTTTTTATCATTTAAATGTATTGGTAGTATCATCAGTCACATTTACACTTTTAAAACTCACAACGACTCATTTTAGTTAAGTTATCAACATGCCCCAGTCATGCAATCAGTCAGCAGTTTGCAAATGAGATTCCTGATTCAGTTATTTGTTCATAAATGAAATAAACATTTGTGGTGAATAATTTGCTGAAGGGGAATACTTGATTATGGATTATGCTTATTACAAATAACTTGCCCTTTCCTTCATTGGCATGACCAATATTTTTACATTCGTATTGCCAGTGTTGCAAAAGTTATTTGTTCAGTAGTTCCAACCCAATGAAATGTGCCCTAACAGCTCACACGTCAAAACTCTTGGGTTGTGCTATAACCAGTCTCAGGGGCGGATTTAGTGAATTGGGGGCCCTAGACAAAATATAGGAATGGGGCCCTATACATTTGCACACATTTTCCTAGATCAAGCTTGAGGTTCCTTTTTTTTTTGTGACGCTTGCTGCTGCACAATGGTGCCCCATAGTTGTGTCCAATGTTTCTACATTTTTCATGTACGCACAAAAACCACGTTCAATTCGGATGGTTGTCGTAGTAATAAACACCGTAATCAGCAACTGTTCGCGTGTCAGCGCTTAATGCGCATCTCCTATATGAAAAGCATTTTAGGGGGCCCTTGGCTTTTGGGGGCCCAAGGCGGTCGCCTACCTTTGCCTAATGGGTAAGTCCGCCCCTGACCAGTCTTTACGCCAAGCGAAGGAGTCACACGCTTGCTCCCTCAGTGTACACTTCTGCTGAGCCCGACTTCTACCCAACAGCCAAGCAGTATTAAAGTGTGGACTCAGAGGAAGACAGTGAGGGCTTAGAGTGCCATTAGGGCCCTAATTTTAAAAAAATTTACGCATGTTTTTTACGCAAAAAACCTTTTCAGTTTTTTGAAGACTTATGACTTTTCTCAAGTACCACCCTCTGGCCAAAATGCACAGTCCCCACTCTCTAACAATATATTGTGTTAAAGGGGTCATATGATGCGATTTCAATTTTTCCTTTCTCTTTGGAGTGTTACAAGCTCTTGGCAACTTTCAGATTTTAAAAGTTTTAAACATTTTAACTTTAAACAGTTACAATGAACAAATTTCACCTAATGCTAGAGAGTCCCAAATGGTCACTTGAAAGAAAATGAACTGGTTGTACCAGTAAGCACTGCTTTAGTGTCTAACTTGCAGAGTGTTTTACTCCTTTTCAGCTAGCACTGGGAGGTGTAGATGATGTGGACATGGCTAAAAAAAAAAATCTATGACTGCGTAAGTATCTCTTTTTTAACCACACATTGTTGTATTATTCATTAGAAATATATTCAGACACATGGCATCATCACCATCCATCTCTTTGATGTGTCTCTCAATGTGTCTCCTGTAGGGCAACAAGTTACAAATGTTTTCATTGTCATTTATTTTTTGATGAATCATTTTACCCATAAGATCTATTTAAAATCTAAAATAAATTAGGGCTGTGAATCGACGTAGATAATTACACAGTAAAAAAAAACAAAAAACAGTAGGCTATAAATACTTGGAAACAAAGGTGTTTTTCTCTGAATAAGCTGAGGATTGTGTATTTTTATTTTCAATAAACAGGACAGTTCTGTGGCTTTTTACAGCATGACAGTTTGCATATGAATTAAGTGTTATCTGTATATATTGTTGCATTAAAAGTTAATTTAACCATTGTTTAAGTCAAAGCTGATTCGAAATACACAATGTTAATAAAAACACTGTTGAATCATTTGCAATTACTGTACAAATAAAAACAATGTTTCAGCAGCTGCATTGTCGACATTCAAGCAGATGAGTATAATATGTAGGCCAGAAATGCAAGAGTTGCAGAAGCTGTAAAATAACTAGGGTGAGGAGCTTAGTAGTATTGCATGAATTTGCATCTTTGTTGAGGAAAGCCCTTATTGTCCTGATAGCAATTTATATTGCATCAGAATTATAGAACTTAGAACTTTATTAATTCTGAAAAAAGGTATAATTCCAACTGTTAATAGTTACAAATGCATTACAAATACATTATTTTGTTCTGCAAGTCTTTATTCAACATCTGGTAAAGAGCTGGAGGAAACAAACAGCCATGCATGTTAATTTAACAAGCTGAGGGGATGAAGGTGTTATCATTATAATTTTTTTCTTATTATTTATCCGCAGAATTCTTTCCAGAACAGATGCTCATTCCTTTCTTTAGCTGGGATACATGGGTTCAACATATTTTAGTAGGCTTCTCTTTTAGACTGTATGCCATTTCTATATTATATCTGGTTTTATTATTATTTTATTTAAACATTGTTGTGCAAACTTTCTCTTTTACCTCTCCTATGAAATTTTAAAACTCAGAAGCGAGGTAGATGATTATATGAAAACACAGAAAAGTCCAATGACTTAATAAGCAAGCAATGGTCTCACCAACAGCATAGTACATTTGGGCAACATTTGGGCAAGAGTTGACAACATTTATTTGTTAAATGATTTTTGATAACCTAACAGATTAGAGGATAATGAATGCATGTGTTACTGTTCTCAGAAACGAGCCAGTAAACCAAGCATGACCACAGGCACGAAACGTCCCGCGGCTAACTTTTGTGCTGAGCACTAATACTGAGCGTTCATGGCATAAGCTGACATCAGTGGAAAGTAGATCAGGCCAGGAGCGTGAATTATAATCTGTTTTCTATTTTATTCCTTCCCAGTGGCTAAAAGAGGTGGATGGACCATTCAGCCACAATGTCTCGCTTAAAAACAATAGATAATTCGTTAGACACATTATGTTATATAAGGGATATTCTAATGTTTTCTGCATTGCTAGAGGATAAATTAACTTAAATTTAATAATTTGACCTATATTTATTTATTTATTTTTAGGAGGATTGCAAAGCACTGGTGAATAAATAAATTAGATAGATAGACAGACAGACAGACAGACAGACAGACGATAGATATTTCACAGTGGAGAGAGTTAAGGAGCTGTCCATGGTCCTGGAACACAATTCCAGTTTCTCACCATAAATAGTTGTTGTCACTAAAATCCTGTCACTCTACCTCAGATAGACACATATGTGACATCTGTAAGCTGTATGCAGCGATTGGTCGCCTACATCACGTGGAATTACCATGCTCTTGTTTTTCCTCATGCTGTGAGGGATGACAGCTTCCTGTGCTCACAGTCTCTCTCTCTCTCTCTCTCTCACACACACACTCTCTCTCCACACACACTCATTAGTGCTATTTACACTCCAAATCACATACGACCTTTAATTTAGTCATTTATGGACATATTAAATAATTCTTACACAAATCTCCACATCCATTTACCCCTTACAAGCTAGAAAATATGAAATGCGAATAAAATAAAAATAATTCAATATATGAGCAAAATATACAGAAAAGGTGAAACAGACAGAAACAGGTACAAATGCAGAGTGCCAGTCTATTCGTCTAAGAATAGCCTAGAGTATTTAAATTTCAATATTAATAAATGCCTCTAATACGTTAACATCAATAAAATAACCTGTATCTATGATTGGATAAGTCGCGTTCAACACTAAAATTCCACTAATTTTATATTAAGTTGCTCGGCAGCCGCCAACAGCCTACATTTAAGATTTGTTTATTCCCTTTTATTAGATATTGTTCTATTTAAAAGTAATAATAATAATAACAGAGACTAATATAATAACAACAACCAAATTCAGACGCCATATAATGCGTGAGTGCATGCTCTATATAAGACGTTGTTTGCGTGGTAGTTATAATGTTTTCTGATTTATTAATAAAAGCATGTGAATTTTGATTGCATCTCTACCACGCATGTGTTGTATTGCTGCAGAGACGTGCATCAGATCCGCTTTCACACACTTCATCTGCATTCACACATTTACCAGTTCTACTGGACCCGGAGAGATCGCCTTCGTCTCTTGCATTCATTTCCAGATACCTGCAGTAATAGAGCAGGCAGCTCGTGCGTGCTTTGTTGTTTTTGTGAGGGCTTGAATCGCATCGCAGCAGCGGATCTGAGACGCGAAAGCCAACGCGATCTGCTATGTGTCACAGCGAAGAAAGGCAGTAAATAAAGGGGACGAGCAAGATGGTGATCGTGGCTGCTTTTCATTTATCCTCTAAATGCTTGAATGCGATGGCCATCCCCGCGATCACGCCCAAGCTCTTTCTGTGGGCTTTTCTAATCGCCCATCTTCCTTTGAGGTAAGAATATCACACGAGAGGACGAATTTAACATGCTAATATGTTCTGGTGCGCAAACGTTATGGGCTGTGAGTGCATGCGGTGCTCTGTTTCCCATGCGTTCCTCTAATCTGTTTGCCTCAGTGTAATGGATGTGTGTTTTTGTGACAGTATGAAGATGAAATCTGATGAATATCTGGCGACGTTGGGGCTTGCAGTTGTTTTTACATTGCTGGAGGCAAAACCCTTTAAATAAGCTCCAGAAAATCCCTAAATGAGGCAGTGGTGCTGATGGTGTATAAAGCTATCGAATAATAATAGTAATAAGTATATAACTTATACTAGTTATATAATGACCGTGTTCTGTCAGGATGTGTGTCATGATTCAAACAGCCAATAAACCAAATTCAGGGTAGCATTAGGATAGATGAGCCTTTTTCCTCAATGAACTATGCATGCTGTTTCTCATTGTACTTAGTCAAGGGCTAAAGTTCAAAGCTTTGCCATCTACATGATGCCATTTCAGTCAAGACGTTTGTTTAAGAAGATTTAAGTCAGGGATTGACTCCTCCTCTCCACCTGCTGATGAAGAATCAGGAGGAATTCTGGCCTATAACTACACCGTCGGAGCTTGGACACGGAACGAATCATACAAATATCAAAGTATTGAAATAAATGATTATCAGGGGGTTTCAGCTGTCATGTTATCTTGAGATTGGCTTTACGTTATGTTTGGTCCCCTGTGCTGTACATGCAAAAAGTAAAGCTATTATTTTAGCATGCATCTCTGGCCTAATCAAACCCCAGTAGGCACTTATTATTGAACCTTCTGTTCACACAGTACTGTAGGTTTACGTTTTGTAGTTTTCTGATTTTGACCGAGGGGGAACGCTAAGCATACACATTTAAGTTAAAACATTGTGCATTTCATCACCTTTTAAAGACTGGAGCATATAGTTGCATCAGTCACATGGGCTTTCTACGTTCGAGGAGATTACTGACAAAAGCATCTATTGTAATTATGGTAAAATGTTCCTATATTTAACCAGTGTTTTGTAATATAATGCTTGCTTTCCATTATCAGGATAATGCAATAAATATTTTTGCTATCTGCCACAGATTTGATGTCATAACAATTTTATATCATACATTCCAAACAATTTCGTATAGAGCCACCTATTTACAACTAGGCCTTATTTGGGATAGTGTAGTGATAATTGATCGGGAAAGGACAGTTATTGAGGGATTCAAACAGCTGTGCACTCTTAGGAGCAGAATTTTAAATTGTTCTTACCATTGCTGAAATCACTGATTGACAATTACTTACTGAAGGATTAGCATTGGTAATGCTGCTAATGCTGTCACTCAGGTTTATCTCCCTAATCTACTTGAACTTTGAAATAGAAGACTGTAGGTGTTCTACTATTTTACAACTAAATTGCTTTGTTCGTCTGGTTGTTTAAATGATGTGGGGGTGTATTTTTCTGACCCATAAGGAATAGACCAAGCAAGTGTCAGATACACGGGGATCAAACGCTCATCTGATGCACGTGTCGGCTGCACCCCAAGACTATGACATTTTCATCTGAAATCGCACCACAGGGATTAATACACTCACTAGTGGTGTGATGAAAAGATTGCTGCTGCCTTTGATAGCACTCAGCGTGCTGGTTTAAGAGCAAGGCCTGTAGTAACACCTCAACCTGATCACGGAAGATGTTCTGAACCAAAGCTCAGATGTTTGAAAGTTGACCCGAGACTCCCAAATGCACGCGGTGTGTTGCAGACAACACGTGAGATGGTACGTTATGATATTCAGAAGTTACTCTCTCATCTTCCCAAATGTCCAGAAGACTTTAAAAGCCAATTTATTGATGTGTTACTGATGCATAAATACAAATATTTGCTATGTCTTTGATTTCCTTGCTTAAAACAAATTGGAAGAAGGCAGTAGTAAAAAAATGTCTGTACTTGAGATAGCATTTTATATATATGTTATGATAGTATTTGTTAAAAAAAATCAGTGTCGTTCCAGTTTCATAAATCAGTGGTTCTCAGTTAGTTGCAGGCCAAAAATATAATCATACATAGTTAGGACAGCAAAATAAACAGTCCTGAAGCAAAACCAGTCAACAAACCTGCAATAAAGTATCTTTTTTTTTTTTTTCAAATAATTATTTTTGAATATAAAAACTAATCATAGTTAAACTTCAATCTGATCTTATGGTAACACTTTATTTTAAGGGCCAATTCACACTATTAACTAGCATGCACATCACTAGCATATTGGCTGTTTATTAGTGCTTATAAAGCACATATTAATGCATTTTTGGATTTAGAGATCTATTTTAGATCCACCCTACACCTAAACTTAACGGCTACCTTACTAATTATTAATAAGCAGCCAATTAGGAGTTTATTGAGGCAAAAGTTGTAGTTGATTTTTAGCCATAGTGAGAATTTGTCCTTAAAATAAAGTGTGACAAAATCTGTAGATGATCTGTGAATAGCCTGACTGTTCAAAGGTCATCTAATTAGGGAACCGAAGGCCATTACAGGTCAGCTGATGTATTGTTAATAGCACTTTATCTTCAGGAGAGTGTAGATGGGGACATTTGGTTTCTTCTGCCTGTCTACAGCCTCATTTTGGACTAGTGATGGACAAGTGGGCTGCATGCACCAGATGGTGTAATTCAGCAGAAGAGCTGGGCCCAATAAACAAAAATGGCATCAGCGTCCCATCAAGGGAAATATCATCTCCATTTCATTATGAGCTGTCTTATACCGCGAAGCATCACAAAAGGGTTACGGTGAGCGTTTTGCTGCATTGTTGCATGGGCTGATTATTGAATTGCAATAAGCAGACATTTTATTTCATTACACTCAGTAAGGATGAAATGAAAATCTGATGCCATGGCTCTCACCACAACACAGAAGCCATTTGAGCCACGCAGTCAAGTTATTTCCTCACATATAACATTGGCCATTGCAAAATTGAAGCATTTTCATAGTGTATTGTTGTATTTCTAAAAATCCCCCCACTGTTATATTTTGCATGAAGAAAATAAAGCCTTTTTATGACCTTTGGAGGCAAAAAATTAGAAAATGCATGCACGTTGTGTTAGTTAACGTTTGACTTGGCAGCTCATGGCCCATTATTCTTTTTCAATAAACACTAAACCTGGTGAAATATAGACAGCTTAATGTGTCTTTAAGAAAGGTTAGGTTAACTCTTAGGTTAAGTACTGTAACTAAATTAACATAATCAGATAACTTTTTTCAAGTAACTAGTAAAGTAACTCAGTACTTTTTTAATTTACAAGAAAATATCTGAGTTACTTTTTCAAATAAGTAACGCAAGTCACTTTGTTTTCCCATGTATAGAGAAAGTGAAGCTGACGTCACGCCGCGCTGAGTTCTGGGAAACGTCTTTGTTTATCCGCCATACTGGGAGGATCGCGCTGCTTGGCTCAATGTACCAAGACAAAATTGTAAAGCATTTACTATGTGCAGATATGCATATGAGCCCAAAATGTGAACAAAACGTGTTTATTTACACGTTAAGCGTTTTCCTCTCATATAAAGAAAACGCTTAATGCACTGAGACAGTGATATTAAAAGACCACATTCTGTGCACACCTTACTAATAGAGCATACTATGTGCAGGAAAGCAGATGAGCCCAGAATATGAACTTTAAATGTAACTGTCTGTTCAATGCATACGCCATGTTAAGCGTTTTCTTTTTATGGTTTTCTAAAGGGAGGAAAACGCTTAACATGTATTAAACGCATTGCGTTCATATTCTGGGCTCATCTGCATATCTTTTAATATCACTGTCTTAGTACATCAAGCCAGCTGCTACAAAGCTGTTAACAAGCTCCCAGGGATTTGATTTTGGTTGTCATTTGTTGAAATAAATATAAAAAATCCAGTGTGTTCGTGTCTGTCCGCTGAATATGTCCCACAATCTCTGATTCTGGAAAAATGAGTAGCCTATTTACAATCACAACAATTATACTTCATCACTAAAACGTTTCCTACAAAGAAATGGATGGACTTCTGTCAGCTTGTTGAACACACACTTTTATTTGGATGTTCTACCATATGACTGTAATCAACCTACATTGTAAACTAAATCCTACCAAAAAATTATTATGCAAAGCGATAAAATGACTTCTCTTCCCTGCAAACGCTACAATGAAGAATGCGAATATTTAACTTCAAATCAAAAACAAATGATAAACAGGTATCCATATTAATTTCAGCATTTGTAGCAGAGGGCGATCCTCCCAGCGGCCCAGCATGACGTATCTTCACATTCTCTATTGACTGACATTACATTTCCTTCAGCCTGAGGCTTATTCTCTTCACTTTTGGCGTGAAAGGGCTCCTACATTTGCTAAAAATAGACATTTTTATATTAAAAACAAACAAGTAAGCCCAGTCCAGATGTAACAATTTACGCAAAAGTAAAGTAACACATTACTTTTCATAAAAAGTAGCTAAGAAACGCAATTATTTACTTTTTTGAGAAGTAACGCAATATTGTAATGCATTACTTTTTAAAAAAAATTACTTTCCCCAACACTGATTCTGAATAAACGTTTGTGTGGTAGGCCTACTCATAAAACCCGTAAAAAATCATAAGATTTTACTTCTGTTCTGTACATTTATTAGTAATTTTACTGTCATTGGATATGTGCAGTTTCTCTTAAGTCTAGCATAACCTGGATTATTCTTACAGGGTTGATGAAGGCCTGCATTTCAAGTACACTGCAAGGAATTTTTAATCTAAAGCACATGAAAAAGCTTGCTTTCCCACCCAGCCAAGAGTGTTTATTAATGGTCCAAGCAGTGAGTGTAGTTGTTCTGATTTTCATTTCTTATTCTTCTAGTTATTGTTATTCTTTTGCTTCCCTTAAAAGCATCTGTACCTCAGAAACAGTCATAGAGATTGGTGGGATGCACACACATCCATCTGACAGTAGGTGGCACTATAATAAGATCAATGCTGTTTTGGTTCATGTCTCGGATAAACAAACAAACAAACATGGCTGCCAGCAGCCAATCAAACTTCAGCAGCTTATAGCAGTAGCACATTCTTGCTTATAACTCTAGAAGAGTAATTTCTAAGCCTTCAAAGCCTTTCCTTGAATCCAAACCAGTGCCCCAAAATCAGCTGATAGTATTTGATCTATGTCCTCACGAGAAAGCCATTCCCCGTTATTTGAAAAACTTCACAAAACTTGGTACACATGCACAAGAGGACATTCTGAGGAAATTTGCTGAATTTCATGAATTTTCCTAACAACAATTACTAAAAGATCAGCCATTTATATCAATGGAAATGAGAGATTTAGGCCGTAATACAAATGTTGTCCATCAGTGGAATCCACAGGATAGAAAATCCTTTTAGGTCTCAGGTTAAAATCTCCTTAAATAGTTATTTTGATGTGTAGTGTATATATATATATATATTGTTAAATAATTTTTTGTCCTAATGATATTGAAAACATATTTGTTTAAAAATGAACGTATCCACCTCATTTTTCAACGCATAAGTAAGCAGTTTTGCATCTTCTGCTATAATACATAATATAATACTTCTATAAAGATTTTTTTTTTTTGCATAGTCATTGTATCACGTCTACTTGAGTCATTTATCCTTAGCCCCTTGATAATCACCTGAGGCTATATTTATGGCTTTTATTTCTAATATATCACTAATGACAATTACTGGAACAGGCATCTGAAAACGTACTGATAATATATATTTCTAGTGTCCTCAACAGAAGAGCAGTTGGTTCCCCTCACTTCAGTGCACTCCAGCTCTGTATTCTATTGGTACTTTTTAAAGTTTCACATTACAAATGCAGCATATTGAGTGAAATATATTAACCTCACTGATATCAGGGCTGTCACTATTATGACATTAATTGTGGGTAATTAATTGTTATTATATGATAGTTGTTGTGATCAATCATTGGCTTAATCTATTTCATTTGAATTAAAAGGCAGCAGTTCTCTTGCAATTTCTTTTTTAAGGTGGTCCGATTAAACTCACAAGATTTCATTTTACATGAATGAAGACTTTCTGTAGTCTCCATAGTTTTGAATATATATTGCATTATTTTATATACTGTATACAATAATGTAATTGTAATAATAATGTAATTACATACGTATACATTATTGGGTTACACTTTATTTTAAGGTGTCCTTGTTACAGTGTAATTATACATGTAAGTACTGAGTAATATTAATTAACTACATGTACTTACTATATGGTTAGGGTTAGAATTTGGGTTTGACTTACTTGCATGTAATTTTGCATAATTAATTGTTATTATAATAGTAAGTACATGTAACGTGTAACAAGGACACCTTAAAATAAAGTGTTACCCATTATTGTATATATTATATTGGTAACAATTTACAATAAGGTTCATTAGTTAACTACTTTAGTTAACATGAACTAAGAATGAACAATACTTCTACAGCATTTATTAATCTTAGTTAATGTTAATTTCAACATTTACTAATGCATTATTAAAGTCAAAGTTGTGCTTGTTAACATTAGTTAATGCACTGTGAATTGACATGAACAACTGTATTTTCATTAACTAACATTAGCAAAGATTAATAAATACTGTAATAAATGTACTGTTCATTGTTTGTTCATGTTAGTTAATACATTAACTAATGGAACCTTATTTTGAAGTGTTACCATTATATTTTATATCATTCTGTTTTAAGGATAAATCGCTTCTTTTTTGTGGCATGTTGCATGTTTTGTTGCATTATCTTTGCATGGTAACATATAGATCAAAATGTTTTGGAATTATACAGCTGTGACAGTCAAATAAACCTGTAGTGCTTTGTGTTCAAAATAACTTGAGAAATGTCAAAGCATTTCTAGTATTCACTTACAAAATCATTTATTTGTAATGCAGTGTCCATCGCTTTTCCTCTGTAGGGTTGCAGAGATGCTGGAGTCTATCCTAGCATCTCGGACCAGAGATGGCCAGTCCATCACATGCGATGCAATGTGTAATTGAAATGTAAATTGCACAATGATCATGATTTTTTTTTTTTTGTTGTTGTTGCAATTATGTAATCATTGCAACAGGTCTACTTGATGTTCAGTTTATCTAAATTGTTCTGTGATGCTTAAAGTATTAATTTTTGCTAACTGCTTAAAAGGAGTCCAGCAGGAAGGTTTCATGCATTGCTGAAAAGTCTGTCATGATGCCGTGTGTTCTCCCCATATTAATGTACAATGAAATGCCTTGAAAGGGTTACAGTCTCGACTTTCTGAAATGTTTCTGAAGTTGCCAGAGCAGCACAGCTCTCAGTCACATGTTTCTCTCAAGGCTATGCTTTTCTGTCTTCTACAGACTCCATGGTTACTGCCTCACACCATCCATTGTTGTCTGATTGCTTTGCCAAGGTCCTCAGCATTCATTTGAGAATGATTGCTTCTCTCTGCCTCTGGTGTACTTTAGGATTTTAGTCAATTGCATAGGACAAGATAGATAGATAGACAGACAGACAGACAGACGATAGATAGATAGATAGATAGATAGACAGACAGACAGACAGATAGATAGATAGATCAAATATATAGCAGCTGTGTACTGCTATGCAAACATAAACTCTACTATTAACCCAAGCAGGTAGTTTATGAAACACATTAGCATGTAATTAAAATGATTTATAGCCTATTTGCACAGAACACATGAGATAATGTTGTAAATGCAAAACAGAGGCTTGCGTTTGTCGCACCTTCCCCTCACAATCTGATTCTGGGAGCGCTGCCAGCGAGAAAGACGGAGCGAGAGCACATTTCCACCTCTAATGCAACATTATTATTGTACGTCTGTCTGTCTCCAGCCTCCACCAGCACACCCACACTCTGCAAAGACTGAACGTTATCTTTGTCCTCCTCTAGATGGCACCCTTTTTTAAGGTTCTAGTTAAATGACCTTTTAAAAAACTTTATTTGTTGCCATGGTCACATGTCCAATTATGGAAAGCACAGCAGCCATTTTCAGTTCAGTAGAGTAATAAAACATGTGCATCTTCAATCTGCTTCCATCCTGGGCTTTTATCATTTTTAATTGCTATTTGGTATACCTTGCATTTGTATCTAATTGATTTCTCTGCTTTGATAAACATTGTTAACATCTCCATGTGCTCTATGCAAAAGATCCAGAGATCAGTCAAGTCTTCTTGAAATAATTACTGTAGTTAATTAGTTAACTCTTTCCCAGTTGCCAGCCACCACCAACATTTTTGATCATTTTCACAAAATTTTCATGGCCTGCAGAATACTTTGTTGTATAATTATCTGAACGTGCAATATGTCAAAAGAAAGAACAGAGCCTCTGCTTTTAAACAACAACAAACAAAAAAAACAGTTTTATTCTAGCTTCATGCAATCTTTTTAATCAACACTAGAATGTGGGTAAGAAGCAACATTTTAAACGAAAAGCTGAGAAAATGGCATTTTTGTTAAAGACTACATCACTTCATCAACACATGTGACATTATTTCATGCATAATCCTGATTTCAAGATCAGAATGATGGCCAGTGACGGAAGAAAATGCACAAATGTGACCCTGGAGCACAAAAGCAGTCTTAAGTCGCTGGGGTATATTTGTAGCAATAGCCAACAATACATTGTATGGGTCAAAATTATTATTATAATTTTTCTTTTATGCAAAAAATCATTAGGATATTAAGTAAAGAACATGTTCCATGAAGATATTTAGTAAATTTCCTACCGTAAATATATCAAAACTTAATTTTTGATTAGTAATATGCATTGCTAAGAACTTCATTTGAACAACTTTAAAGGTGATTTTCTCAATATTTAGATTTTTTTGCACCCTCAGATTCCAGATTTCCAAATATTGTACTCTCCTAACAAACCATACATCAATGGAAAGCTTATTTATTCAGCTTTCAGATGATGCATAAATCTCAATTTAAAAAAATTGACCCTTATGACTGGTTTTGTGGTCCATGGTCACATTTCAACAAAATATGTCTGCTTTCAGATGGAAATAAAGGTTTCCAGTATACTCGCTTGATGGCTTGTTAACAAGATCATATAGAATAGCAGAACCAGATCATATGGACATAACATGATCTTAGCTTACATTCTAGAGACTACAGAAATAAAAGCGCATTTATGTTGAAACATGTAAAAGAGTTCAGTGTGACGGATTAGCAACATTGATTCACCTTTTTTCGTGTTGTTGTATTTTTGTTTGCCCATTAGCTCTGTCCAGCTGGAAAGTGATGATGATGAAGTGGCGAACAAAACGTGGGTTCTGACTCCCAAAGTGTACGAGAGCGACGTCACACATATTTTGAACAGCTTACTAGACGGCTACGATAACAAGCTGCGGCCAGACATCGGAGGTAGGTTCAGTTTCTTTGTTTACATTCAGATCTGAGCTACTGAAGGCGGTTCTCCGCATGTATTGTTTTGTTTAACAACTGGCTCAAATACATGTTTAATCTCCAAGAATTCTGAACCTCATTACATTCTGATTTAATAACACACCAAACTATTTTGTCCATTTTACTGCCCATGCATACAACAGATGATGTGGGAATACTGCATCTCTCGGATTTACTCTCTCAACAGGATTTTATTTAAGTTGACTTGTTTGAATTGAATTGAGTTGTGTATTTTATTTTAACTTAGATATCACATTCCAAAACAAATCTGCTTCTCATCACAAAATGACTCAGCTTTTTATGAAGATGTTCATTTGTGATATCATTTGAAAGCATAACGACTAACTAAACTTAAGCTCTGTTCAGTTATTTCTGTGCAGCTGGATCCAGTACTCATCTGAGCCAAATTTTAATGAGCAAAAAATGGAATACAGTACATTTCTACTGCAATGGACATAGCCTAGCATGAGGAGAGTAATCAGATAAACTTAAGATCTCTGTTTGTGTTTGTTTCTAGGACAAAGGGTTCAAGAGTTAACCAAACGAAAAGTTACATTTTTGAACTTGTGGTGGCGCAATAGAGTTGGTCCTAGAGACACCAGAATTACTCAGATTACTATTGAGGAACATACCAATAAGTGTGCCAAATTTCATTGTTTTCCTTCGTACGGTTCATAGGGCTGCCATAGACAACAGTTGGGGAGGAATAATGATTACAACAGGCCTTTTATAAAAACAAGAGTTGCAAGCAGTTATATTGGGGCCAAGCACCAAACATGCTGACATATGCTAACAATGCCTATGAACATGTAAAAACATGTTAGCGACATGCTAGAGGAGCATGCATGCTAATAGCGGAAGCAACATGCTAACATGTTATCAGTGCAGTGTTAACAGTGCCTAGCAGCATGTTAAAACATGCAACATGCTAAAAGATGTTAACGTCTAACAATCTTAAGAAATTCCTAGTCACGTGTATCAATTTGACTAACTTGTGCATTTTTAAAAAACATGCAAACACATTTTAACCCTTAGCGGCTTGCTAACAATGCCTTCCAACACTTAGGTACATGATAGTACAACTTCTACAAACATGCCAGTTATGCCTAGAAACATATGGTCTGTTTAGGTTTCTTAGTGCTCTTATGAGGTCTAATGGGTTTGAAGAGGTTTATTGGGGCCTGAACTGGTTTGATGTGGTTTCTGAGGTGGTTTAATGTGGTGTTTATTGATTTTCCTGTCTTCATCTAACTTACTTTCTGTCTGTCTGACAATAAAACCTTCAAAATTCAAACTTTATCTATCTAGTTTGCATGGTAAAAGAGTAAAAGATTAATGCAGTTGATGAGAGCACAGCCTTCTGCGGTCTACATTTTAACTATGAAGAGAATGTGAGCACTTTATGCATTGCACTCTGAATAATGGATGGTGAAAAATAAAGATATACTATTACAGCAACCCTAGATGAGATTTGATTACACAAACTCCTGATCTCCGGCTCTTTGCACAACATCATTTAACACAGGGCCATGTGACCCCATGGATTTTTGAGCCAAATGGATTTTGATTTAACAATTTGTTCCCCAAGACGTATTAATTCTTTGCCTTGTTTTTGTAAATCACCGAGGTGTTGTACTAATTAATTTCCGAATCAAAACTAGAGAATGATTGCCGTGATTTGGTGTATGACGCACACTTTCAAGCTCAGTCTCACACTCTCACGCTACCGCACTCAGGACAAATAACAAAAAAAGAAAAGAAAAAGATTCAAAATTTGTATCTAATTAATTATACAATGTGGCAGTTAATCTAATTAAATTAATCACAAATCAAATATGGCTGAGAAATTACTCCCAGATGCTAATTTAAAGCAAAAATTGTAAAAAAAAAAAAAAAAAAAATTAGAAAAAGCATCAAATAAACTTTATAAAAGTAGCTTTAGAAAGAAATAAACTGTGGAACATAAAAGAAGATCATTTGAGAAATGTGACTGTACTTTTATATATATATATTATTTTTTATTTTATTTTATTTTATTTTTTTGGTTTGTTTTTTTTTTGATTCAGCCCTTGTCATTAAAATCTCGCTCCAACCAGGGAACCAAAGTTGTCAACCATGAGTAAAGTTAGTTTTAGTTGTGTGAATTTGTTGTGAAAACTGTGAATGAAAACTGTGCTGTGATGCTAAATGCTGGTGACTGCTTGTTCATGACGAAGCGGTGCCTAAATACTGCTAACATCTCGCTCCATTTAGTGAGAGACAGCTGTGTGTGAGCAAGTAGCTTGCTTATTTATTTATTTATTTATTTATGAATGAATGAATGAATGAATGACCTTAAAGGAACACTTCACCCAAAAAATATATTTTTTTTTTTGCAAAAAATTTACTCACCCTCAGATCATCCGAGATTAGGATGAGTTTGTTTCTTCATCAGGTTTGTAGAAATGTAGCATTGCATCAGTGTCTCAGCAATGGATGCTCTGCAGTGAATGGGTGCCGTCAGAATGAGAGTCCAAACAGCTGATAAAAACATCACAATAATCCACAAGTAATCCACAGCACTCCAGTCCATCAGTTAACATCTGGAGAAGCCATTCTTTCCATTGAGAATACACGAAGCCTTAAATTAAACACCAAAGACATTGTGGACGAATTTGCAGAAAGAAATGCCAGGAGAATTAAATTAAATTAATTACAACTAAAATGAGTGAGAAGTTTTTTTTAGTTTTTTTTTCTGTCTTTTTGCGTTTTGGGCCGCTGTGCCAAGAGTGTGTTTGCGTTAAATAATATAGTAAATATGGCGGCGTTTTAATGCCATAATATTTTTAGAATACAGTCAAAATTATGAGATTAAAGCCGTGTTATATTATAAAATTCCACCTACTCAAAAAAAAAAAAAAAAAAGGTCTGTGGCGGTTAATTGACTGATTTATGAAAATACGGTAATAAAACAATGTTGTCAAAGTTATATTGTTGGCATGTAAACAACTGTTGCCTCTGTCATATGAATTCCACTGCATTAGATAAAATATCAAGCAAAACATTTCATAAACAGAAGTTTGTTTTAAATTACACAACAACAGATTTAGTGTTGACAAACGTTTTCTAGGCACTTTCTGTTTATCAAATGTTAGTGGAACATGTGCATAGATCACCAAAAAATCTCATTAAGTCTGTCATAATTTACTCGTTGTTGTGTTGTCCTTATAACTTACTTTCTTCTGCGGATCACAAATAGAGATAATTTATTGAATATCTGTTGAAGTCAGTATATAATGGCAGGACATTGTCATTTACTTTAACAAGAGTGTCAGATAAAATGTTCATGTAGCTTTTTTCAAGTGATCAAGTGAACCTTACTCTATTGTCATCACCTTAACTTAACTTAGCTAACTAAACTAATTTACTTTCTTCTTGTTTCTCTCTCTCCACAGTCAAACCAACGGTGATCCACACTGACATGTTTGTCAACAGCATTGGTCCAGTTAATGCCATCAACATGGTAAGAGAAATGCTCTAACACATGTTTTTATGAATATAAAAGTATATCATGTTTCTTTCTTTCACCAAAAGATTTGTGTGTCCATCAGGAAATACTTTTTACTTTATATTGCATTATTATTAGCATGCTTTTATACACAAATGTTAATATCAGCATTATAAACTGACAGCTGTGAAGCTGAAATTCTTAAATATACTGTATATCAGAGTGATATTACAAAATGCAACATTATGTTTTAATCTGTCAGGTGCCTTCAGTGTGCTTCATTTTGGTTTTGCTGAGCAGTGTTTCCACAATACATTTTATTTATGATTGTCTGACATTTGATGTGTATTTTAGTATGTTCTATTTTAGTGACACAGCATGTTAAGATAGACTGATTAGTAAACCTAAAGAGTTAAACCAAATAATTTACTAGTTACTGTAACTGTCATTTTGTGTTTATTTTGGATGTTTTTTAATGCTTAGGTTCTATAGTGATTTGTATTGATGCTTGTTTCCGCCACTGAATGAAAAGTAAAAAAAAAGGTAATTGTGGCTTTTTATATCTAACAGTTCTGCCTTTTTTTTTCTCGTAATTGCAAGTTTATATCTCGCAATTCTGACTCCTTTTCTCAGAATTTATAGATATAAACTCGCAAACTGTGAGTTATAAAGTCCAGTTCTGAGGGGGGAAAGACTAATTGCTTCCAATTGTGAGTTTATATCACACAATTTTGACTTTATATCTCGCAATTGTGAGTCAGAATTGCAAAGAAGAAAAAAAAAGTCACATTTACCTTTTTTATTTAGTGGTTGAAAAGGGCTTCCATAGAATCGCGTGTTGCATTTCGCATATAATCTTATTTAAGAAAATAACAACAAACCTAATACAAATGTAACAGCTAAGCAAATTAGCAAAGACAATAACCGACAAAGATGAACTGAAACATATGGCTACACAAACAAGCAACTAAAATACCTAACTAAAATTACACCCAGGGCTAATTTATTAAAGACAATTAAAATGTATAGCTCTATGCTTTACATTGTGTGGCAAAACATATAAATGTTATAAACAGCACTTTTAACATAACACAAAAGGAACACAGTTTGAAAGCAGCAGGACAGGGTAAAATTACAAATTATAGGTAATAAATAGAAACAAAACACAAAATAAGTGTCCGCCGGAACACATTCAGTCTTCGGAACATTTTAACATTTATGTTCTCTGTAAATGTAAAGGATTCATTATTATAATCTCATTACATTTAATGTTCTTAGAATAAATAAAAGGTATATGTCCGATACCACATATAATATATATTACAAAAAAAACATATTTCAATGAATATAATTGCGCTACTTACAGCATATAATGAAATATGTATCAATACTTTTTAGTTGATGATGAAACGCTGTTTGGCCTGTTGCCATGAAATTAATTGGAGATGTGAACTGTTCTCCAAATAAACACAAGTGTTGCTGGCTACATTTATATCTGTATGGTATGCATCTGTAAGAAAATGAGTTTGCATGGGCTGTGACAGTCCCTAAACGTGAAACCGTATGAAGCATATAACAAGAGTTATCCTAGAGTTGTCTCCAGTCTCCAGTGATTGTTTGAATTTGCACCAGGATTTAGCTTCAACATGCATTAAATCAGTGTTTATGTATTGATTCATTTGCGCCGAACTTGTTTAGAATAGCCAATAGTGCACATGTTTGCGTCTGGCTTGTCCCGTTTACTTCTGTTCTAAAATGGCCAAAAAGGCCAAACAAAGTGGAATTCGTGTAATATTCTAATTGGGACACAGGGGTATGCACTCAAGCATTGGTTTTGTCTGAAAGGTCTGCCCCTTTCGATTCCTCAGGAGTACACGATTGACATCTTCTTCGCCCAGACGTGGTATGACAGGCGGCTGAAGTTCAACAGCAGCATGAAGGTTCTGCGTCTCAACAGCAACATGGTGGGAAAAATCTGGATCCCTGACACGTTTTTCCGCAACTCTAAGAAGGCAGATGCCCACTGGATCACCACACCTAATCGCATGCTTCGGATATGGAACGACGGGCGTATACTGTACACTTTAAGGTAAATGCACGCTTTAATTTTGAATGAACACAACATGCATAATCTGAGTGTACCCAGATAGCAAGCAACCATTGAAACAATGCTAAGTGAATGATGAATGCTAACTGCAATGATTTAAAGTTACAAAGCGATGTTGGTTCAATATCTTGAATCAACTTTTGTCTCAATAAACTCCTAATTTGCTGCTTATTAATAGTTAGTAAGGTAGTTAAGCTAAGTTTAGGTATTAGGGATGTAGAATATGCTCATGCAGAATATGTGCTTTATAAGTACTAATAAACAGCCAATGTGTTAATAACAAGCATGCTAATAAGCAACTAGTTAATAGTGAGAATTGGTCCCTATACTAAAGTGTTAGTCTCAGATAATGTTGAAATAATGTTAAAATGTCAACAAAAATAGTTACTGATGTTGATTCTAGATTCTTGTTGATGTTATATGTTGAATGAACATTAAAATTAACAAAATGATCAACTGCAATTTAAAAAAATTTGATAATAGTGTGAATGAATCAACATTAAACTGTGATTCTAAATCACTGTTGTTTTAACGACTTTGAAAACGGCTGAAATGAAACGTTAGCAATAAAATCAATGTTTAACATTTCATTAGTCTGTCATTCAATTCCTGACAAATCAAGGACAGAAAATAGGTTATGAAATAAATTTAAAAAAGGATAAAGTAAAGGTGGGACAAAAAAGACACTACAGTCCTAATATATATATATACAGATATTTCTTTGGTGTAGCTTACATTATACAACCGTTACAAAATTTGTGTAATCATTAAAATATTTACCAAAACATAAGCTTCATAATAATGTATGTAAAAGGGCACTTTGAAGGGTTTATATAGTCTAATCATTATTGCCGTGCTCTAAAGTCATTCTAAACACATGTTGTAATAAGAAAATAACTCTAAAAGTGAATTCCAGATGGCCCCACACTTTCCAGTGCCCAGAAGCTTTCACAGTGGATGGTAAAGACTTTGAAGGGAGAAAGTGATTATTGATTCTGAATGGAACACACCCTCTCTCTCTCTCTCTCTCTCTCTCTCTGTCTGTCTGTCTGTCTGCTTAGACAGTTTACACTGCACACGTCTGCGGTGCAGTGTGGCTCTGATATGGCCACTGAAGCTGAATGTGGCCACTCAATGCTTGTGTTTATGTTTTCATACAGTCTATGGTTTATTGCAGCCGCGCCACGCACGTTTCTGAAGCTTCTGTAAAGATACACGCATATGCCTTCTTTGAATAAATATAGCCACAATCCGTTAAAATCCCACCAAAATCCATTGCGAGTTATCGCGAGAGGCATAACAATGGTTAATGGAAACGCCGTCATTTCGCAATACTTTTTTATCGACATTTATAAAATATCGCCAAAGTTTTGCGCAAATCTGTAATGGAAACGCGCCTATTGTCTCTCTCTCTCTCTCTGTTGTTGTTTGGATTGTTATCTCTCAGTCCCTCACATGTACAGCATCCTTTCTGTTCTAAAAAACAACCAGATTCTCGGATAAAGTGCTTCTTTCCATTAACAGAGTCTCGAGTGCAGATTCAGAGCTATTAACCGCGGGGTGGTTTCTGTGCACGTTGCTTAAACAGTGGCAAAACTAAATAGCTCAACATTTTAGGGACTAAAACCTGACTGTTTTTGAAAATAAACACACATTTACCTAACATTGGTGACTGCATTAGTTTTTAGTATCTAAATGCAACCTTGACAACGATTTCTCATTGAATCAATGTAATTTATGTCAGTTGTTACGTCAGAGGAATGACCTTAAACACTGACAAAATTACCTTCACCTGTTTTCTTCTTTTTAAAGAATGTCAAAAGATCCTTGCACTGTCCTCTTGGCCAGTTTTGAAGAGCGCAAAACCATTACAAAAACATTGCCTGACCTTGTGCGCAGCTCACTGGAATATCAAGCTCTGATTGGCCAATTGCAGTTTCATTGCATTTTGTAAATGATCCTCTGTGGAGTATTTTAATTTTTCATCTGCATGATGTGTTTTACATAATACACAATGCTATGAATCGAAATAAGATAGTGGTTTTAAAGAGGGGATTTTTTTTCAACAAGGAGCATGCATTATCCCTCATATCGAGCACTGTGTTAAACACAATATAAATCACTTTTTCAAAATTTTCAACACAAAAATATAAATACAATTTGCTAAATGTTACTGGAACTTTAAGACATGCCGAATAAATCTTACTAAAATAAGATGCACTGTAAGTATGTAGAAAAATATATGATTTAATGATAACACTTTAGATTAGGGAAGACTATTCACTGTTTATTGGCTGTTTATTCGCCTTGCTATCTGGGTAGCTTTTGCTGGGTACCACTGATGAAACACTTAATAGCTGATCACGGTTTGATGTTCATTCTGACTTGTTTAATTGATTCTTAATGCAACTCTAGTCTGATTACTTGCTTTCAGGAAGAATTCATCCAATTTTAACAAATATGATGCACGCCTGCCATTAATAGCTTTTAAACTGTCAGTCATTTTTTAATTGTGCTATGTATATTCTAGTACTATGTATATTCTATGCATATTCTAGCGCTGGAGATTATAAATGTGGGGTGTGCTAATGAAATGGCTGATAAAAAGAAATTTGATGAATGAAATTTCTGTCTGTAGGTTGACCATTGATGCAGAGTGCCAGCTTAAACTGAATAACTTTCCGATGGATGAACATTCATGTCCCCTGGAGTTCTCAAGCTGTAAGTCTGCTCATATGCTCAACATGCAAATCCATCCATATCTCTTCCATTCTTTACTGCTTTTTCTCTTCAGTTTTCTACACCTCGTGTCTGCTTCCACGCTCAGATGCAGCTGAGAGCATGGAAACCATTTTTAGGATGCTACTGAAGACATTTCACTTCTATTTTCGTCTTGAAAAATGAAGGACAGATAATGAGGAAAGTGACAATTTGGCCCAATGTGGAGAGACATGTTTTTACATGCTCACACGAGCAAGCTGTGCCAGGAAGAAACCATGGAATTCTTCCTGTCCTTTGACTTTGGAGAGGATGCAGGGGAAATGGTTTATTATGGTAATAATGAAGCAGCAGATGCGGCATGGACAGTCTAATGGGATAGCATCATCTGTAGTTTCAGAAGAAACTGAAAAAAGGGCAAGTTATTTATTTTTCATTGGCTCAAGTTAAAAAATATAGATGTGAATCATTACCCTAAATTTTTTTAATTGGATGAATGAAAAAAAAATTTCAGTGTGTGAGGTCCATACAAAAAATAGGGTTGTCCATGTTTCAGAATTTGTTGTGGGTGTATGAGTGTGAGATTTCCCGGCCTGAATTTGTATATATATTTATATAGATAAAGATGTATTCACACACCTAGCCTTCGCTACACTTTTGACGGAAGTGGTACAGAGCACTAGTGCCTCTGGGTACCGGGTTGCATATTCTGCCAACACTAGTGCAAAGTGATGTCCCTGTGCTGACTGTTCTGATGGCTTGATGAAGTCTTGAATGTGACCTCATTGAATGTGACCTCGTTCAAAGGGAGAGGACACAATGGCGCTTTTGGGGTAATGACGCTTTTTTTGTGTTTGCAGCACAGTGCACACCATCTGCGAATGTTACTGCAAATACCTGGCCAATAAAATCTGTCCAGTGCCATGAATGACATCCTGAAGGCTCTGTGGAACTAACAACTGGGTTGTATTGTCTTTTGTATTCATGCCTTGGGTCAAGTTAGGGTCATTAATATTTGCAAAACAGGGATGCGTGAGGGGTCAGCCAGCCTGAAGGGCTTGCCCACCTATTACTTGGACCTGTTCAAATAAATTTTTTTAACATTTTATCAGGAGATTGCGCCAAGGGAATCCACTAGCAAAGGAAGGATTAGCCCCGCCCCCGTTGCTGAGACCCCACCCCTTGGAATAATCCCCGGTCCTTGCTCACCCTTCCCAGCCTGAGCTGCAGCCTCATGCCTCTGTTTTCTGTCCCCCATTCACACACGTTCCCTAATAATTGCGAAAACGGTGGACAATTCATCCCCAGACTCCCCAGTCATGTTCTCATTGTGGGAAGATGATCATCGCGGGCCAAGCTCCGTTACCTCTGCCTCGATCTAGTTCTCGTCATGGCGGCAGTCAGGCGGGGCTACTTCAGGCAGTAGCACGGGCGGTCTGAGGGTAACAGTGATGGCAAACCCTCCAGGGAACCAACCTTCGGGGGACCATCGCTCCTCTTGCACTCCGCAACCAGTTGAGCTGCCAATGGAACGTGCTGGGTCCTCTACAAAGAGCGTTCCAGCAGTATCCTTTGGCGATCCTCCCGACGACTGGATGTTGATCGCTGCATCGGAGGGTGAGCCGGAGCTTTCTGGAGAGGAAGATGTGGAGAAGCTGCCTCCGCCTTGCACGCTACGGCGTTACTGCAGGTTCTTCAGGCTAAAGCACTGAGGGACCTGCACGAGGGTGGTCACGATCCGGAAGTTCTAAAAGAGCTCCAAACCACAACTGATCTCACGCTCCGAGCGACGAAGGTCACCACGAGTTCTCTGGTTCGTGCGATGTCCACACTTGTGGTCCAGGAGTGTCACCTCTGATTGTGTCTGGTCGACATGAGGGACACCGACAAAGTTCGGTTCCTCAAGGTCCCTTTGTCCCAGACCTGCCTTTTCGGCGACACAGTCGAGAACATGGCCCAGCAGTTCTCGGCTGCACAGGAGCAGACTGAGGCGATCCGACATTCTGCCCCGGCGGGCAGCTGCTGCCTCCTCCTGTCCTGCCGGCCGCTGCACCCCAGCCTGCTCGTCAATAGACAATTCTGTTGTTGTTGTTTTTGGACCAATTCCAATTGTTTGTTTCTGCAGATGGCTACCCCAAGGAGGAGATTGTATACAAGTGGAAGCGCAGCTCAGTGGAGGTTGGAGACATCCGCTCATGGCGTCTTTACCAGTTCTCCTTTGTTGGCCTGAGAAATACCACAGAGGTTGTCAGGACTGTGTCAGGTACAGTTTCAGGTTTACATCTTAAATACTGGCATGCTTTTTTTCCTCAAATTTCAAACAATTGCAAAAACAAGTTTAATTGGGTTTGATACTATTTGTCATTGAAGCAACCGTGTTTTTCAATTTGGCCAATAAGTGTCGCAAGCGGGTCTTTTATAATACACTATGCTATGTGTACCTGGTCGCCTGATCAAATAGCTTTCAAATCTAGTTGCTTGATGTATGTATATCTGGGCTAGGACTGGGCGATCACCGGGCAGCTGGCGCTCATGTACTCCATCAAGAACAGCCTTATCTTGGCAAGTTCTTCTGACATTTGCCACGGGCTCTGATGAATCTGTAGTGGTTAAACATGAGATATAATACATTTGGGGTATATCTAATGCTTCACTTCACAGAGATCAATGCATTGACCTGGGGCCTTGTGCCTACGGCTGAATCACAGCTTTGGTGATACAGAGCCATATCTCACGACAGCAAGTGTAATCCCATTTAGCAGAGTGTAGTTTAAGATTTAGCCAAAACATTGCAGGGTGGAGTAAGAACATGTACAGCAGAAAGAAGGAGTGAGAAAGAGACTATGACAAAAATAACAGGAGAGATCAGTGAGAGAGCGGTGATTGGCTTGTGGAGGCAGTCAGCAGTTTGCAGCCATCCTAATGCATCATGGGAATCGCATAAAAAAGATTGTGAAACGTGTTAGTATAGATACACACTTCCTTTTTCGGAGTAGAGCTATTCTTAGAGTGACCTGATGCTGTGGCACGCAGTCGCGCTGTTGTCTGTGTGCATCGGTCTGTGTGATTTGGCTTGAGTCATGAATGCCCTGGGATACATCAACTTTCTTCTCCATTTACAGACACCCACGGTTTGCAGATGAGACTTTGGCGGTGCTAATCTGGAGGCAGTGGTGGTGAATGAATATGCCTCTTTTTTGAGGGCATGAGCACTGGAGTCTAAAAACATTTTTAGGCTCCCAGCCCTCTTGATTGGTCCAGATAAACAGAAGATATTAAATGCCCTTTATCACCATAGAGACTAATATTTTCTACTTTAGTTTCCTTTCGTCGGGCTACAACATAAAGACAATGCTGGTATCTAAAAGTAGCAACACTATTAAGTTAACTGCATTTTTCAGTAGTTTGATCCTTCATCTGTTTTAAAAAAGAGTGTAGTGCCTAAGAAAGATCAGACACTGAATTACCCCTAAACTGCAATCAACAGATGAGGTCCCAGACTCCCAGATCGACCAGCTAAAAAAAAAGTGGTTAAAACCCCTCTAAAACCAGGCTAAAGTAACTACACTGTATAAGTGTTCTGACCCATAACCCATAACTGGCAGTGATTAGAGCCTCAAGTCTTTTTGGATATGATTCAATAAGCTTTGAGCATCTGGGGATTTTCTGCCATTTTTCTCTGCATATCCTTTCAAGCTCTCTCAGGTTGGATGGGGACCACCAGTGGACAGACATTTTCAGGTCTCTCCAGAGATGTTTGATTGGGTTCAAATCCGGGCTCTGGCTGGGACACTCAATATTCACAGAGTCATCCCTAAGACACTCTTTCATTGTATTGGCTTGCTTAGGATCATTGTCCTGTTGGAAAGTGAACCTTCCAGCGCAATCTGAGGTCATGAGTGCTTTGGTCCAGGTTTTCATTGAGAATTTCTGTATTTTCATTTGTTGGGATCTCCTTCTATCATGACCAGTCTCCCTGTGACTGATGCTAAAAAACACCCCCACAGTAACACCACCATCCTTCACTGTTGAGATGCCGTTGCACAGGTGATGAGTGGTCCCTGGTTTTCTGACAGCAATTAAAACCCAAACTGTTAGACCCATGGTGGAAAAGTCTTATGTAATTATAGGGCAATTTCTAATTTATCCTTTATGCCCAAAGTTTTAGAGAAAGCAATATCTGTCTGGAATATTTGTTTGTTTTGCGTCCAATAGTGTGTTTGGAATCTCTGGGTTTAGGAAGCACCGCAGTACCAACTAGAGTCTGCTCTTATATGTGTATTAACTTTATATTGTTTTCTGTTGATTCAGGGGACTCTGCCCTCTGTTGATTCGACTGAATTAGAGTCTGTGTCGATGGGGTTTTTTCCCCCACTAAATTAGTTTTGACATATGGGGTCCCTCAAAGCTGTTTTATTGCCCTCATTTATCTATATTGATTTTTAACAAATACAGAGTATTGTTTCATTTTTATGCTGACTACACTCAAATTTATGTCTTTTAAGCAAAGCAACAACAATTATCTCAGCTCTTTAACCGCTTGTCTATAGGATATGAAAGCTAGGATGCCCTTAAACTTTTGGTTTAAATTTTAATGAGAGTAAGACAAAGGCAGTTGTGTTTTGACCTGTAGCTACAGCAGGTAGCGTAAATCAAATGTTGGGTAGCTTGGCTATGTTAAAAAAAATTTTATTTGATTCTGTTTGAAATATGATAAGCAGATAAATGCAGTGGTGAACTAGTTTTTTGCAGTTAAAACTCTTAGCAAAGGTTAAGAGCTTTTTAGCCTTTTCAGAATTTGAAAGAGTTATACATGCTTTTATCTCATCTCATTTAGATCTGCAGTCACTGCAGATCACTGTCTTATGAACACAAAGGGGAGAATTAGAATTTCTGACGTGAAGATGATGATGCCTCGCAGACCTTTTAAGCTTCACCAGACTGCAGTCTTTTTTTTAATTATCAAAGACCCTCTGCATCAATCCAGTTCTCTCTCTCTCATAAAACAACTTAGATCCACTAGAGCCTCAACAAACTGACACAGGACACTGTCTTTCAGATGGGCGAGACATGCAAGTATCAAGCTTAGTCTTATGATTTGATACATTAAGAATTACTCACCTCTTTTCTCAAGATGTGTTAAAATTAGGACAGTGATAATTCATTCAGGCTGTTGATCTGCTGAATTGCAAATATTGGCAAAACGGCATGCTTTTATTCCTTACTCTGCTTAACTTTATTCTTCCTTTATGCTCCCTAATCATGCCGATTGTTGCTGCATGCCCTTAATTAGTGTTGATCAATATTAGAATATTATTATCTGTGGCCAAGAGAGTAATATATCCTATTGTAGTCTATACATATTATTACTAAACATTTGTTGGACAAGTATTGGATGGATCTCTGAGAACGATTCTGCCAGTAACCCAAAACAGTTACTTGATCCAAATGCCTATAATTGATCATAATTAAATCTATACTATGTAACTTTTGGCTGTCTAGCAGAATCATTGTCAAAACATGGTCAGCTTCTGATCGGGTGATGTAAGTCACTCAAAGGCATGCCAGAAGTATGGCAAGGGAGGCCAGAAGTATAGCTTCCATTCTCAGGGAGCTAAACTATACCTACGGGTAATTAGGCTGCCCCTGAGCATTCACATAAAATGACCACAACCTATTCTTAAATAACACTGGATAAATAATTGTTTTAGTGAAACAGAGAATTTTAGAGATAATTATGGGTACTACTATACTTACAAAGACAGCCAAATGAAAGAATATGCAAGCCATAAAACCATTCTCCTATCTTATGTAATCAGCCTACTTGGTGCAACAGTGAGTCAAAGTCTCTCATTGCAGAACTATATAACTACAGATACAAATACTATCAACCAGTGTTGGAGGTAAGACATTACAAATAACGCGAATTACATAATCAGATTACTTTTTTCAAGTAACTCAAGTAACTAACGCATTACTTTTTAATTTACAAGAAAATATCTGACTACTTTTTCAAATAAGTAATGCCAGTTCCCTTTCGAACTGACTCTGTCGTTGCGTTGCATGCTATGGGGAAACTCCTGTTTACTCCGAATACGGAAGTCTGATTTGTTCACGTTCGTATAGCTGCACAGATAAATGTCGCTTCAACCCGCCAAAGGGGGTGGAGCCAACTGCTATATAAGTCGGCCCTGAGTACCATTTCATCAATCTTTCTCCTTCAGCGCGAAGATCATCTCCCCACTGACTCTGAAGAAGCAAGAAGCCGAAAGGAAGAAGCACAAAGCCTGCTGCTCGCTGTAGAAAAGCCCTGGCAGTGGAAGATCGCCTCCAGCAAGCGCTTCCCTTGTGGCCATCCAGCGAATTTACAGTAAACCCCTGCATGACTCAGACCATTGCTTGCCTGGGCAGTGCTCACGCTGAGACTGCGCTCACCGGGACCGAGTGCTCTCATTGCGAGAGCATGAGTCTCGCCCTGCTTTGCTCTCGGATCGCCTTTTTTCGTGAGGGCGGTCTTCCCCGGTCTGTTCTCCCATTTCTTCCCTCCCAGGAGCCTAGGAGAATATGATAGAAAGCTAGTGTTTTTTTTTTTGTTTTTTATAAAAAAAGAAGATAAATAGATAAAGTAGAATTAAAATAGAATAGAAAATGCTAGAGTTAGAGGGTCAAATAAAGATGGAACAGATGTGTTTTTAGTCATTTCTTGAAGATGGCTAAGGACTCAGCTTCTCGAATTGAGTTGGGCAGGTCATTCCACCAGGAGGGAACAGTT